AAAAAAGCGGCGTGAGAACTATTCTATCCTGATTTCCATACTTGCATTTAAACTCCTTGATTGCAACGGAGTTTAAAATTTGTTTGGATCTACTTCGGACAAAAATTAAAAAACAAAGGTTCTTACAGATTCATTATATGTTTTTGACTTTCATATAGCAACCGGATGGCTACCCACTCGGCAACACAAGTCCACTTGCTTCCACAAATCTACCAGTCATGTGATAGGTCTGTTCATCTTTATTTAGGTTAGAACACAATAGTTGGACAATCTACTAAAATTAACGGAGAATTAGAGTCCCATCTTGATGCCAAGATGCGAGAGCGAAAGTATTCGCCGGTGTATGTCAACCCATCACAGATAATATTGAAGTCGGAATAGGATGACTGTGCATTAAACATTAAACAATATCCAAATATGTAAGTCAAAATCTAATTCAAACCTTTGTTAGAAAATCTATGAGAGACCTGTGACCACATTTACCGTTATGTTTGATATAGATTGAGGATTGATGACAGGCAATAGCCATTGCGCCTAGTTCGGACCCTAACGGAACATAACATCTGTCTTTGATTTACTTCTGAACCATGTCTTTGAAGCAGGCTGTTGCCAAAAGTAAGCCTCTTACCATGTACTATACTGGAACCTAGAGCTGATGGATGAGATAATTATTCCTCTAAGAAAGCCTAAAGATTGGAAGGTTCTGGTTCTGGACCGACTAGCTACTAGAATCGTATCTTCTTGTTGCAAAATGCATGAGATAATGAATAACGGCATAACATGTAGTGAATCCTTCGGTAAATGTTTATTTCATAGTGGTTGAAGACATATCCAAAAAGAGAGAAGTTTTACCGATTGAGGCAATATATTTGATCACTCCTACAGAAGAAGTAAGAGAAATTATCATATTTATCACTTTAGTCCTTGAAACTACTAATGGAAGATTTTCAAGGGTCCCAAAGTCAATATCGATTCGCTCATGTCTTCTTCACAGAAGGTTAGTTAACTTCAAATATTTCATCGAGATATATTACATTCAATAAAAACATTTATTATTTTTTGGATGATATCTCTTTAATAATGAGAACAAAAGGTTTAGGGGGTCTGCAGTCCTATATATCCTGTCAGTTTCCTATTGATCGTAGCTTTTCATCTTTGTAAAGCCTGTCACAAATATGCGTTAGCCCAGACCACCATTCCACATTGACGTATTGAGATGAATAATAAGAGAGTCAAAGTAGTGTAGTAGCGATGATCAAGAGTAAACACTAAGAATCTGGTTGAGGAGGTCAGCAGAAAGGCATGTCCGTAAAAATACTGGTGTTAAAGGTCTAGAGCAGGATAAAGTTAACGCATCTTTGGAATCGTGACCGATACTGAAGTACATCACTCATCTCAAGTAGCTGATCATGGTTATTGTGTGGACCGCAAACAGAAAGCCTACAAGTACTGAAACGGCCCAAGCCAACCGTCAATAACGTCATGAACTGACACAATGTCTTGGTTTCGCAGCTTCTAGCTTTCTCACAACATCAGTTACCATCTCCCGTCAAGGTGGGTGCTGGCTAAACAGTCTAAGTTTGATTTATTAACTCACCTATCTAAATCACATTCATCAGTTCAGTGTTTGGATTTGTTTCTCTATTTTTTCCAATAATTCTGTACGCTTTTTTATGTTGCTTCGGATTTTGGAATTAACTTCGTCTAGTAAGAATTTCCAGAGCATGTTGTCCTTGTCATAAAACCAGGAATCTCATCTTAGGCTTCCGGCAATACGCTTTGCTCTCCTATATGAGTTAGGTAGAGGTTTCTCAATAAATTTTCATCTTGAATCGGTTTTCTTTCCTTTGTATGGTGGGCGCTTACTGTCACGATTGATGACAAGTAACATGTACTACTTAGTGATTAACTTAATATGTCAATGACTTATTCTTCCTTTGCTTTGAAAATTGGATACCAACGTTAAGTCTATACTGGTTTAATTTCATCTCAAAATTTTCGGCATCAGGTTATATTGTATTTAAGCCTGTCAGTATTCGCTACAAGTCTATTTCTTTGGGTATATCCTTGAAGTTAAATATACATGACACAAATGCTTCATACTTCATTTTCATGTATGATATCTCATAACTTGAGCTTCATTGCTTTTAGCTTGCCCGGATGAACTATTCAATCGTCTTTGCCAGTCGAATTCCGCCATATTTTTAAAAACTCTAAAGGAAATCAACATAGCTTTTCTGCCAGTTGAATCTCGAGTTTTTTCATTGGATTCACCTATGAGCTTTCAATATTATTTCAACCCAGTAGCCAGACAACAGGGTTCAGGACAACAACTTGAGCGAATCGCGGAGCAGATCGCAACATTGTGTGCCACACTAGGTGAATATCCCGTTATTCGGTACCGCACGTAAGTTATTTGAAATGAATTCGGCTTTCTAACCTCGGTATTGAGTTTGCCTACACGCCATCCGGATTTTTGTTGACTTTGTCTTGATATCAGCTATATCTTAAGTATATTTAGCGTTGGGATATTTTGTAAATAACTTCAGTACAGCTATCTATCGTGTTTTTGGTGTTCGAAAAATGATGCTTTTTGCTCGTATAGGGGTTATTAGTCTGCATCATATTATGATAAAAACATCAAAGCTATGAACTTAAATACATTGTAGAGTGAAAGTTCCAATTATCTTATCATTGCAAACTGTTTTGTTATCTGCACGACCACAGTCATCCTTTGCAGTTTCAGGACTCCATTTCCTTGCTCAATTTGTTTAATACGCGCTTTTTATCAGATGTTTTATGGATCCTACTGATTTCGTTTTAGTTGAAGCTAGTAATTGTAGTTTTATTTAAGTTACTGAATTCCAGTTGTCTTTCTTAGGTTAGATGATGTGTTATTATAAATTAAGATGCATGTAGTCTCTCTGCATGAATATGTCTAATTCGTGAATAGTACGATATATGGACTTGTGTTGGTTGGAATGAGGAAACGAATGTGAAATCAGCTAATTAAGATACTGTTATCCACTTAAGTATTGATAGGGTTTCTAGAGTTCTTACATATATAAATGTATGTGTTATAAGCATGAATTTCTTGAGCTTATAGACTTTTTTCATACAGATTGAATTTTCATAGATAATATAGCTTTAGTTTTCTGATTTTATGCGTAAAATGAATTGTTTCAATGGTTTCATTATTTTTTGGTCATTTTAGTCAGTTTGAAAAAAATGCCGAGTTCGCACAGTTAGTTCAACAAAAATTAGATGCATACAAAGCCGATGATCCCCAAATGGGCGAGGTTAGTAAAATAAAACTTCATCACTTAAAGTAAAATTATCTGAATCAAGTTGTTAATATTCTAACTATTTTTGTACGAAACAAGATCAGTCCATCGATGATGCGATTTGTTAAGCTTTATTGAAAGCTTGGTTTTTTTTCCAGGGCCCACAAAAAGAAAGAAGCCAATTGGTTTTGCTTGATCGAGGATTTGATCCCATTTCTCCTATTTTACATGAACTTACTTTCCAAGCCATGGCTTACGACTTACTGGCGATCGAGAATGATGTTTACCGGTAAGTTGAGTTATTTTCGTTCAGTAATTATTTATTGAGTTTATAATACTAATTCTTATTATAATAATGCATTGTGTGTCACTTTATTCACTATGTAAATCATTCTTGTAAGCTGGTCCTACTATCATAATGAATTATTATATTAAATCTGTTACAGTAGACACTGATTGACTAAATAATCAAGTTTACCATATGATTTGATAACAGCAATGCAATACTGGCATTAAAGCACATGAAATTCATAAAATCAGCCATTTTTCAAACTTTTTTTCGCAGTTATCAGTTTTAATCAAATAGTTTATTCAGGGTCACTGGTTAAAATTTAATAACGACGCAATATATTTGTTTCAGCTAATTTTTTATGATTTACTCTAATGAAGGAGTTTTTTCTATTTGATGATATTCACTTGACTAACTATGAATTTACAAAATGAAACCATCAATAGTAGTGAAGTTTAAGAAAAGCATGCTTTGTATGGGTAAAATATAACAATCAGTTTGTTACACACAGGAGGTGGTTTCGGGGCTAGAAAACGATTCTATTCTGAATGTTAGCCGTATATGCAAATTCGCGTTATTTCATGTCTTAACATATGAATTGTACATTAGCAATGTTTTTGCTGTTCGTAATTTGTCTTACTTTATCACTTGGCCCATCTATTGACTTGAATGTATATTAGTGATTTTATAAAGAATTCAAGCGCATCCTTACAGATTCAATAAGTTTTCATGAACTCCATCATTTTTTCCATCGTAATTAAAAGCTAAAGCAAATACAAAGTCACTAGAGCATACTTTGTAATGCTTTCTAGTACAACATAGTACAAAAAATTCATTATGATTATATTATTAGTGTTCATAAATCCAATCAATGAATACAATTATTAGCTACATGTTGATAAATTGTCGTTAGTGAAATCCACAGTAAGTATGCTGTCACTAGTCGAAAAACAATGACTTAGTTGTTAAGGCATTTATTTTTCAACCACGGAATTGTTGGTACCAGCCCTTCTCCATTTAAATGACCAGTTAGCCTCATTTGCATACCTAAGTACATGAATCCGTGCCTCATAAGTAAATTATATGATATTATTACTGACTATTAGTGTAAAAGTATGACTAAATATACTTAAGTAAAAGTGAAATAAATTATAAAATATTTTTCTGCTCAAATGAATGACTTTTCTTTATTTTGAAATAACGTACGTTGCAGCTACATCAACACATCAGGTCCTGAGGAACGTGTCAAAGAAATAATCTTGGATGAAACTGATGAGCTTTGGTGTGAACTTCGTCATCAACATATTGCAGTCGTTTCACAACAGGTCAATATTTTCGGTGTTAAATGAGTAACTGAGAGTTTTTAAAATACTAATTGTTTAAAGGATGAAAAATGTCACTCAATAACCATAGTTTAGACTCTATGCTTGGCGTGTGGGGTTATCAATATGCTATTCTTTGTTTTGTAATCTGCGACTAAAATTAATTGTTTCAATAACTTTTAACAGTCGTTATAGTAAACACGCACCACAAATGTCGTCCCAGTGAAATCCACATCGTGCATTATTTACCAAAACTGGAACTGGTTGGGAAATCAGAGAGGTGGCCAGTGTATGAAATGGTGTCATCGTTTGAGAGAAAGCTGTATAGGACTGGTGTATGTTTGTTGGTTCTTCGCGACTCCCTAATTAGGGTCTTAGTGATAGTTGAATGGAAAGAATTTCTCATTGTATATTCCTCAACTGAACTGTTTCTCTCACTATTATTATTATTATTTCACTCTCAAACACTGATTTCTATCCATTTTTTTATTACACCCACCGTTCTTTCTCTATCTCTACTATCTCGTCTACATTTTGTGACGCATATATACTTTGTTGCCTACTTGTGCCAATATTTCTTTTTTAAATAAATAAATACGGTAAACACCGACATGTGGAAACCTCAGGAATCCCGGAATTTTCATTTCCGTAAAAATACAAATACACAATTACAGTCAAGTGAATAAAGTGGATATACTTAGCTGAAACTAGTTGAGTTCAGTAGAATGCGTAATTAAACTTATTATTGGTGAATACAACTGAACCTTCAACATTAAACTTTGTGTAGTTGTAAGACACTCAATGTGACTTATTTAATTCCTATTGAAAATTTTGTGTTCTGTACTTGGAATGCCCAAAATGTTCAAAATCAGTGGTTAGTGACCCATAAATATCAAGAAATCGTATTGTTCTGTAACTCTAACCTGTAAACTCAGTGAAACAATTAGTATTTGTTTAACATTTTTATTGACTTATTTTTTTTCTATGTACAGTCATAACTGAGACACAGTACTTTAGATGATTAAAAATGGTAAGGCAGATTTCTGTAGCATAAATCAAGCTCTCATTTATATAAAAGCTTTATATTTACTGTAGTCTAGGCAAAGGAGAAACAGTTTCCAAGTGAACTATCTGAAAGATAACACTACATCACTAAGTTACTATCATTTTCACTTTTGTTAAGAAATGTATGGTTCATGGGTTAATCAAAGCCATTAAATTAGTCTTTTCTTCACCTTTTTTTCTTATTCTCAAACATTTTATTGGCTAGTAATCATGTTTATTGATTAGAGTGCTTTTTCCCATCTATACTTTTACTCAAGGTTCTATATTCATTAATCTATCTATTCGCCTATCATATGTATATCTTTATCGAAACACTGTATGTTATTCTTTCTTATTATAGGTTACTAGCAAACTGAAAAAGTTTGCTGAAGATAAACGTATGGTTAATGCAGGAGATAAGACTACAATGCGTGATGTGAGTCAAATGTTGAAAAAAATGCCTCAATACCAAAAAGAATTGTCAATGTATTCAACACATTTTCATTTAGCTGAGGACTGTATGCAAACTTATCAAAATCATGCCAATAAATTATGTAAAGTTGAACAGGTACGTTTCAATAATAACTGTTGTATAAATAAACAAGTATCTTACAATTAATTTTTAACAGACTAAGCTAAAACAACTTATTAAAAGTTTAGTCGTTTAATAACTAAGATTCTGATCATATAAGATTAGCAGTCTATCAGTTTGACTATTATAATTATAACGTTATTAGGTGTCTGAAGTAGCCGATCAAAAAAAGATCATAAACGGTTGATCTGAGTTTCCCCAGTTGCTACAAACTTCCTGACGGAGGTTCACAGGATAATCTGATCCTATTTCTGGCTGACCTGTTTGCCTTTTTACTCATTCGTTTTACTTATCTTCATCCTTTTCTCCTCGCATACTTTATCAAATACATTTGTACCAGATTTCCACTTTGTTTGTCCGTCTGCCCACCAATTTAGTGAGACGAGGCAACTTTAAGTTTCAAGTATTATTCTTAAGACTTATGATTTAACTAAAGTCATCATAGTCGTTTTTAATTATTTTTTAGGATTTAGCCATGGGTACTGATGCAGAAGGTGAACGAGTCAAAGATCATATGCGTACAATGGTTCCTATTTTAATTGATCAGTCAGTCTCAGCTTATGATAAACTTCGTGTGATTATTTTGTATGTTATACAACGTGGCGGTATAAATGAGGAGAATCTAGCTAAATTGGTTCAACATGCTCAAATTCCGTCATCACAAGCGTGTATCTTACGTAATTTGATGCATTTGGGAGTTCCAGCTATCCAGGATGCTTCAGGGGCTGTAAGTAGTTTTTTTCTGAAAATAAAACCTCTTCTTATTATTTCTTTTATAAGTAATGTCTTAAAATATTTGTTGTGGTTACTTATTCAAGAGACTGGTTTGTTTGGATCCTTAACCTCTTGGTTCAACTTATAGAAACTCTTTATAAGCAAAATGGATATCAGCTACGGCAGCTTATAATCTCTTTCCAAACAATCAGCTCTATCTAGTCAGCTCTGCACTCTGGACCAAAAGAAGTTGACTATTTTCCATGCGTATGGACTCACCGTATAATCCGCAGCATCATATATGTTTTTAAATGCTTAGTGTAACCCGCTCAACTGATTGGTACTAAACTTATCATGAGACAACCGTGGTTCTAGTGTTATTATAGGCGTTGGTATGTTTGATGTTGCAAATATTATGCAGATAGGTAGTCGCATTCATCTGAAAACTCACGCTCTGGTTAATATCATCTATATATTCTCACTTTGAACCTTCCGTATTTATAAATGACCTACTTCTTTTATACCAAAGATGATGAGAAATAATGCCATGTTTTCTAAACCGTACTCGCCTATATGTCCTACTCTCTTTATTTATTTATATCATTAACCTCTCTTCATTTTCACATAAAACGCCATGATAAACAAGCGTTATTAGATTATTCGAAATGTACTGCGCGATTAAATCATATTTTGGATCAACTTTGCCTTTTCATTGCATTATACAAATTTATTTAAAAGCGGACTCAAACATATTTAATGATATATTTCTCTAAATAAGCGATTTTCGTCAAACTATCTAGGTAGAAGTGACATGAAAATAGGTTGTTCTTGGAAAAAAGTGAGCAGAGTTATTTATTTTATACGGTTTACATATCTTATGTTTTTCGATATAAACTTTCCAGGTTGCTTATGTCAAGGTGAAGTTAAATAACATCTTTTAAAAATAATATTAACACAAGTGACTGAAACTACTCGATATCTTTTAAATTGATGTAACAATTTAACGGTCTAATGTCCTCGTTTTTATTACGTTTCCGTTGGGAAACTAATCATCCATTCAATATTATGCCTTTACAAAAACGCTAAAGTGTGCGAGCAAAATGTAATGAAAATTAAATAATCTGGTGTAAATAGCCATCCTTATTTATTATTCAATAAAATTGTTATGTCTAGCATTTTATAGCATTTTTCTGTTCATTTAATAATTGAAGGGCATGATTGTCACTGAGGAGCTCACTTCAAGCTCTTTCACTGCTTCTACTTTTTCCATCTGGCAAGCTGAGACTCACTACAATAGCGTTTTCACAGAAGACATGCATAGATAGCTTTGACTGGCTGAAATGTAGTCACCATTAAAAATTACACCTTTATTATATATCACTGACATTAAATGGACGGAAAAATTGCTCGGAAATGCTAGGTACTTGACTTCTATTAAACACTGAAAAAAAGTTAGTTATCCTTATCTAAATGACGTAACAAAATAACTTAATTTTCCCGTTAACTTACAAATCGCAAGGTTTTTTCTAAATGTTAACAATACAGTTGTTATTGTTGGTGCACAATAAACTTTGAAAACGTTAAGTCCTAACATGGATTGATACCATATGAAACACTAATCTACTAGGTATAACTATTTACAAACCCATTTTTTGAATTTTCAATTTCATTTAAACACGTCATTATTGATACTGAGTAGCGCCGAAATGAAATATGCGCCACACAATAAAAATGAGATTGTGAATAGATAGCTACAGAAAGGTGAGTTTATCAAATGAATAAAAATGAATGAACGAGAGTATGAAATAATGGGAGAAACAGTTTGTTTGAGAAAAATATAACCAAAAAGAATTCTTTCAATTGAAAAAGTTCCTCTCACTTTTATGCAGAAAGTAAGAGGAAATTACAACACGACTGCTACTGGCTTCTATTTTTTAGTCCTTTCTGATAACGTGTCTCAAGCGACTGAGTTGCGCTATTTTTAGGACTCTACCTTTGTCATTCTAACCTTATCTCACTAAATTATATTTCTTGAATAATATCTTCAAACCCTAGTCTTCTTCATTACCATTAATACCTCTACTATCTCTTTCACTATGGGATTTGATTTGACATTTACGTCTCTGTGCTAATGTGCTATGGCAACATGAACTTATGTACATACGTACGAAGTTCTACGTCGCAACTGACTGACTGATTGAGGGATATGTGAATGTTCGGCAGATGCTAATCCTATACAGCTTTTTGTTACCGTTGTTTAGTAAATAACACTAACTGAAAATCAAATTCTGTATAAAACTTCCCTTCAATCATTGTGTTACAGACTCTTTTTTGCTTATTTTTGGTTTGGACAAATAAGTAGTATCATTAATCTTTACACTAAAAATGAGGTGATATTGTGGCATATAATATGCTATTTTATTGATTATATAGGACATTTGTTTATTCTGTTAACCATATGCTATAATTCATGAAGTGAATACAACTCCTGTTGACATTGTTTTAATCTATTCATTCATATTTATTATATGCTTAAATTAATGATGTAATAGTTAAAAAGAAAATGCAATCGATATTCTTAACATTTTTCTTTGTCACTGATAACTATTAAAACTCTAAAATAAATATGTCTATTGAACTGATGTGTATAAACTGTAACTATCTCTAGCTGGAACATCGAATCAGTACATTTAAAAAAACCTTTGCCAAGGTTTTTCTTCCTCAAGTTTTTCACAACGTAAACTCCAAGTTGAATAATAGTTTGCTCATATGTATTGAAATTCCAAGTTAATTCTCTGGCCAAAAACTGAACACTTTACATCATGTGTAAAGTAAGTATATCTATTCAATAATACAGTTGAATCGCCGCTATTATGCATTAAAACTCCCAAGTGCGCAATGTTAGGGTTCAGTTGAGTAATTTGTAATTAAATTGACAAATCATCTGATAAGGTTATGTATAAGTGTAGTCTCGCCAGTTGTTGTCATCTAAGCAAGAATAACTTGAGATATTATTCTAATGATAAATCTAGTTCATGAAGTCAATGACTATTCTTATTTGGCAAAAATGATATTTATAAACTCTTCCTCATTTGCTTTAAGCTTTTGAAAAACATCAAATGTTTAATACTCACTATATAAAGTATTGCATACAAGAGAGCATTCCTCAAAACCACTGTTCACACTCACTTTGATAACGGATTGTTCATTTGTCGTTTAATTTTATCTTATCTTTCTGTGCTAATGTGGTATGGCAACATGAACTGATGTACTTACGTACGAAGTTCTACGTTACATCTGACTGGCTGACTGACTGTAGGAGTAGGTTGGAAGAAAGTTAGGGGCGGCCAAACCAAAACATAGCAGAAATGCATGCAGTCACTGACAAGTGGACTGAGTCATCTCGGTAGTTGTCGACTACCTGGTTGGGGTCCGCGAGAAGATAATAATCGATGGTTAGAGACCCTGAATGACATGGTTCAAAAACGTTTGCAATGGCGCCGGTGCATTTATTCTTTGTGTTCTCTCAAATCCTTATCTTGTGGATTCTTCAACCCCTCTATTTTTGACTTTCTAAACTTATCTCACTGAATCATACTTCTTGAATAATATCTTCTAATCCTAACCTCTCCGATTACTTCTAATACCTTTACTTCCTCTTCTACTATTGGATTTGAATTGACAATTACATCTCTGTGCTGATGTGGTATGGCAACGTGAACTGGTATACTTACGTACGAAGTTCTACGTTGCATCTGACTGACTGACTATCTTTGTATGAACTGCGTTTTTTTTCTTTAACACTACATACATTGTTTTTTTGTTGGTTGAGATTTAAAAAGTACGACTCAATAAGGTATTACTTCAGTGAAATACACAGTGAATTACTACAATCAATTGGTTATTACATAAACAGACAATGATTATCTATCTCCTTTCTATTTCTATTTAATCCATACGTTCTAGTACTACTGGGTTTGAATCTTTTAGAAGATTATGAATTTCTAAAATAATGCTCACAGAACCACCAGAAATAAAATCGATTAGGTTATAAGTTTACTCAAATAGAAAACATTACGTTCAATAGTAAATACTTTTCTTTGTTTGAATTGAAATGATCAAAGGTTTGCATAAAATTCATTACCATGAAGTTCATTGAATAGAATAATACTAAGAAAAGTACAAATTGCATACATACAAAATCCTAATAAAATTCATATACTATGAACTAAATACTACTGAAAATATACAGCAATCTTTAAATTACTATGTTCTTTGTTTAAAACAATTGTTTAACAATCAATTAATTTAATGACTAGGTTCTATTGTAACTACAATAAACCCCCAATGTATTATTTCACCTAATATAAAAGTAGATTAGTAAAATATGCAAAACAGTGAAATCAATATAGGAAATTCTATCATAAAAAGAATTCATATTGATGTGAGCTGTTTTGTGGGAGGTTTGTACCATTTAAATGTTACGCCCAATTATCAATGATTCAGTTGATTTGTTTAGAAATATCTACATGAAAGCCCAAGTATTACTTGAAACTAAAAGAGAATTTCGATTCTATCAGACTATGAAAAACATTGAAGTGTTACTTTTTAGTTTCTTTACATTGAAATATTATTGTCTTACTTTCAAATCGGAGTAGCTACGTTATCATTTTTCCCTTTTTCAGTTGTTCATTAGCCTTCACTGTAAACTTTCAATTTTCTTAACTATAAAAACATATATGATAAAATGTTTATAACAATATAACAACATACCATAATGATTGTTATCGAAATTTTCCTAATATTTTGTTATTTTTATTGTTAAAATAGGGTATAGGTAGGCGAAAACTTCCCCAGCCTTATTTGCCCGCTAATCGACGTCAACGGGAGGATGGTCCACGATATCAAATGTCTCGATGGACACCTTATATCAAAGATCTTATGGAGGTAGGTGATTTGACTAATCATTCAAATGCTATCTTACTTTATCAGCACTAATAGAGATGTTTGCTAAAGCCATTAATCTTGGTTCGGGTTTGTACACACACTACTAATAATGTTTGATGCTGCAGAGAGATAAGCGGAATTATGAAGTTGGTAATCGAACACCATAAATGTATGTGTTATACAATCTTAGGTGTACTGAGGGTTGTGGAGAAATTTTGCCGAGATATGTATGGTGCCAAAAAATAGTTCAGGGGGATCTTTAGTAGATGATTAAATTATCTGAATGAACAATAATATTATTACTTTTAGTGTAGAATACAGTACCAATAAGAAAAAATTACAAAAAGCTTGTATGTCGCACAATCTTGTATGCATCGTTCAGTAAATCTATCGCTGACATAATGGTTAATCGTGAAGATTACTACAAAATGCAGCTGTATGAAAGTATAACTTGAGCTGTCTTTTTGACTTCTCCAATTTACTATCTAGTATTAGTTAGGCCTCTTGATGCCCTGTAACAGCCAGGAGTGGGAATAGTCCGCCCTCTCGAAGTGCTCTCATGTGGCTACGCTTATGTAACCACTGACACAGAAGTCCTTCTGACTGGTGATCGCAGTAGGGTTGTTGTTTACGAAATTTAGAGAACGAAAAATGGATGTCTTGCGCTTCAACCAGGTAATGAGTACGGAGGATCCGCCTACAGAAGTTGGAAAATCGTGGTTCCAATTCAATAGTGCTTTTGGACTCCAGGATTCTGATGGAACGAATGGCTTATGAACCTATTGGCGATCACTGGCTACCCTGAAACTGTATCTTCTGACGTCACTCCACTGTCTTGTCGATCAGAATTGTGCGCCAAATTCTCATAGTGTGGTAGCCTGAGCAAACCACTTGCTTCGGTTTAGGCAGCCAAGTAGTAGTATCCTAGCCTGCATACAAATTCAATAATTCGTGCGGAGCATAAATATTTAAGTACCCCTTTGTACTAATAATCACATGTTTTGATAAATACACTAGATTCTGCTATATTTATTTAGACACGTAAACATTAGTTGGTCTAAATTCTGATTGCTTAACTTACGACACTGCGTGATTTCATTGCTACTTCAACTCTAAATTTTTATCACGATGGTTGGTGTCCTAGATCTTAAGGATGGTACTTACTAACCCTCCAAACTGTTAGCTTGAATGAGAAAGTAAGGATGGAAGAGGTCTATTTTTCTACCGGATAATATACATAAATACTCATTTATGTGTACATTCTTTCCCCTGAGACATTGAATCCTTTTCCTGACCAATGTTACACATTCATCCTTTAGATCATTTGTGACTATCATCACGTGATCTCGTTCGGTCATATGTATTAGTTTGTTATATTTTGCACTGAGAATGATTATTGTTAGTGGTGAATGTGTGATGAATAAACAGTCAGTTATATGTCAGTTGTTCAAATCTGGTTGGCGGTTAGTTTGCGTGTAGATTTCAGCTGATTAGTGGAGTAACTCAATCAACTAATTATTCAACAGTAACGTAGGACTTCGTACGTACGTACATCAGTTCAAGTTGCCATGCCAAATTAGCACTCAAGAACTATCAGTTAACTCTGAAATTGAAGTTATGCGAAGTATTTTTGAATCGCTTATTACTTATATTTTATTTCAATTAAAAATCATAAACTTGTAGTAATATAAGTTATTTTCTACACATTATTTCATCTTTTGCCTATTATCTCGTAATTTCTCAATAATAGAATGTAAATGTACAATCACTCCGACTTTTTTTTAACATTAGGATGCTGCTGAAGATAAATTGGATCCAAAATTATTTCAGTACTTTGGCGGTGGTCCTGTTCGTGGCCCTGGAACACGTACAGGAAATGCACCAATGTCTGCAAGATATGGAATGTGGCATCGTGATAAAAGTCAACAACCACGTTCTGGGCCTAGACTAATATTTTTTGTAATCGGTGGAATATCCTATTCAGAAATTCGTTGTGCATATGAAGTGATGAATACAGCACTTGGTAAACAATGGGATATTATTGTTGGCGGTACTCATATCCTTGTACCGGAAGCATTTTTAAAAGATTTAGAGAAATTATCTTATCCACCGGGGACAGTTCTTCCATCGGCTAGTAGTAGTGGCACATCAGTTATTGTAGGCGCCGGTGGTGAACCAGTGTGAAATCGTTATGCCAATGTGTAATTCACGAGAGATTTCTTTATATTGCCACATTACATAACAACCTTTATTTACTCATATTGATTTATCTTCTCAATGCGCACATTTTCTCCAGTCAATACCATTTTATTGATGGTAACTATTATTATTATCATTATCTTTAATATTACTATTATTGTCAAAAAGATGAGATCATATGTGTTTTAGCATTTCACATCAGTTCACTTGCAACATTCCTCATAAATGAAGTACCATGTCATAGCTAGTAGCATTCGTGCTCATTTTGTGCATATCTGAAATGAAATTATCTGTTTATTTTCAATTTTCAATCATGCCATTATTATTACACTTCATGATATTATTACTGATAAGTCTTTTTATTGTTTATTGTTGTTGTATTTTGTGCATTTTGTTTATTGGTGGTGTTGAATTCACCAATAATCCTACAATTTCATGCTTTCATTATTAATATTTACTATTTTGTGTGTTGTGGAATCAATAATTTAATATCATAGAGTTATTCACGGAATTCTTTAATATCTTTTGTGCTGTTATTCTATCTATCCTTCTTTCTTTTTTTTTCCGGTATTCTATAAAACACACCATTCAAATAATATTTGTCTTGTTTTCCTTATCAGGGAATTACTTATCTTATTTCATTTTATTTCATCATAAAGTTGCATTGTTCTTTGTTCAGTGTTCATTTATCTGTGTAATTTGACAAATTTTCAAAAAAATACCACACTAAACTTTTCTTCTTTACGATTACCATTACATTTAATTAAGTTGATGAGGAGAAATTAGTAGATATATTCTAATTTGGATTTTTTATAAAAAAAAAAGTGTACTTTGTATATGATATTTGCCTATAATCAGTTCATATTCAATTATCTAGTCGTTGTTGTGTTTCATTCCTTTTGATTTGATCTCTTATTTGTGGTTTTTTTTGGTAATGAGTTTTTTTCTTCACTAGCCATCGTCACAGTCATCATTGATAATTGTCTGAATTTAGCCTGTTGTGTTGTTGAACGTATTAACTTCTTCTTCTAGCTACAACATTCCTTAGCATTATTACTAAATAATCATTATCTTTATGACTTTTATTATTTTGACCCGATTATTCATTCATTCTGTTGATACTAGACATTTTAAAAAAAATCTTATTCGGAATCTCTTCCATTTTATTTATTTATCGCAATTTGTCAAATCTTGTTACACCTTATCCGTTGTTAGCTTACCTTTATAACACTAGTTATCTATGCGATTCATGGTTGTTATATGTGCTTGTTTGTAAGTGTTGAGTATTCTATTCTATCTTCTAATCAATTTGTTTACTCATTTTTCCTTGTCTAAACACAATCCTTCCTTTATAGAAATCATTTATTTATTGTTATAAGGAAAGTATGATCAGTTTTCTTTACTCAAGTTTATTTAGTTTATTTATCAGTTGGTTCATGCTCTTTTTGATATATGTTTATTATCTATTACTTACTTACTTCATTATTCTTCGATTTTCATGAAAGAAAACAACAAAGTATCTATATAATAAAAAGCAGCTTCATTAAATGCACTTTCTGTCTTTTACCTATTTGGCCTTGGCATTGTTAACTGAGTGAATTCCAACACACATAAGCAATAGTCAGAAAGAAAGCATCTGTAACCGAAAAATAATTACCTATTAATTTCTTCTAATTTTAAAGGGTATGTTTTGCAGTTAAGATAGAATCACTTCAAGATAACTTTCTCGCCTTAGCCACAAATGATGTAAGTTGACAAAAACCAAGAAAGCTTTCTAACTTCTGCACCAAGAGTTCGCCAAACATTAACCCATCAGATTTGATGAAATTTCGAAGATTAGTGAACTGGTCAACACACTCAGCTACATAACTCCCTAAGATCATTAATATAAGCGATGGTGTAGAGTAGTGCCGGAGAAACATTTTGTATTTAGTGGGAGCGATCCACACCCTGAACAAGATGATCAAAAGGCTATATTTTTGCTATCTTTAGTGAATATAACTGTCATTTCCGTATTTTAAATCGGTGGGTGAATCACCTGGTAAAAGTTCTATCCCTGAAAAATTAGGTCATAAAAATTTGATTTCTTGGGAAAAACATGACGAAACTAAGTAAAAAGGGAAGAAGATTACTTGATATGTCTTGCTTTGATAGACCTTTTAGGGTCTAACTGCTAGATAATCTGTCGGACAGCGAAATCAAATACCACCTTAAGGCCAAGGAATAGGACTGTACTGGGTCGTTGGTATGCCTATGTCTTAAAATCTGCGTAGAATGAGTAGTAAGTTCACGTCGATATCTGAAGACAGCCTGGTTCATTTGATTTTGCTCTTTTCACGCTTTAAATGATTTTAAAAGTTAATATTTTACGATTGTAGTCCTTTCGTATGAACTGGGAAGACCAGTGATGTAGATCAACTCTCAAAATTTAACTAATATTCCAATCAAACTGGATATATATATGTACACTCCCATAATAATAAATACAATAGATATTAAACTGTAAATAAGTAGTATAGCGCATAATTCATGAGAAAAACGATTTAAAGATTCATGACAACAGTACTGAATCTAATTACTTCATTATTATGATGTATATATATATTTACAAATGTTATCACTGAAACTGTTTTCAATGTTTTCCCCTTCAAAATCCCATTGATTTCAGATGAAATAATATACTAATTTTTCAAAGCATTATAACATTGGAATTGATTCCATTGGACATTCTTCTTTCATTTGTGGTCCTCGAATCCATTCATTCAGCTGATTAATTTGAAAAAAAATAAAGTATCATAATATAAGTATTTTTTAGCAAATATATTTCCAATAGCCAAGCAATATTATAGTATAGTATGATTATAAATATGTATTACAAAATCCAACTGGTGGGGTTGTTTAACATTTTGAATTGATTTTACATTACGGGGTTGTGAAGATTGTTAAGTTACACATTTTTTAAAACCATGAATCGATCAATGTTAGACCACCTTTAGAAACCTGGAAACACTGGACGGCCGTTTCGTCCTGGTATGGGGCTCATCAGCAGTGCGCATTCACGACACCTGCACCCCACAGGATTCGAACCCAGGACCTTCGGAATTGTGCGTGAATGCCTAACCTCTGGCATTTAAGACAAATCTGACAATTTCTCTTTTTTTCTTTTTGCTTACGTAAATGTAATGATCACGAATCATTACCTGATATTATTATTACTATTATTATTATTATTATTATTATTATTATTATTATTATTATTATTATTATTAGTCTATGCTATTTTATCAAGATGAAAGTTCATAAATGACCAAAGATGACTTTTTGAATGGAGTTCAATTTACAACCGTTTAATTAGGACATAACACCCGTAAGTATTAATAATCTTCATCCATACTTAACCAGATCAATATTCCCTAATCGAAATCAGTAAATATAATTTGTTGACAAATTTCATCACGAATAATCAAATATCTTAACCACTAAGGCGACAGTGATGGTTGATAGCCTGCTGATAAAACGCTCAAAAATTGGTTTATTGTCAAGAGATTATTTTATAAATTGATTGAACTTAAGAATCAACTCTAGAATCCTTTTTTTCTGTTCTTGACCCGTAATAATTATCCCAGAGGTCAATAAAATAACCAACATCAGTCATAAAAAAAAATCAATAATCATCAAAATGCAAACCCATAGGGCTACTTAAACAAACTTTCTAAACAACAAATAAGAGAATAAGGTGTATTTTACCATGAAGTTCATAATTTATTTTATAGCATAGATTGACAGTAACTGATTCAATATGAAATATTCTCATTTTGATAGGATTTATTCTAGGCATTCAGTAGTATCAACTATCTTGCTTGCAATGTACTCTGACATAGGTCTACCTAATATCTTAGATTGTTTGAAAAAAAGAAACTATCTTCCTAAAATAAATGTTTACAGACAATAGACATTCAGCAAAACACTGGACATGATGACATTTTATTACGTTTATAATGCATTCCTTTATATAATTGAATACATTCTTTGTTCGTTAAATATCTTTGGCTTTTTGGAAATTAAAATTACTTATGAAGGTATCACTGGAGTATCAGTCTTAGTGGATCCTACCAGCTAGTTTAGTTACAACGAAGAACTTTGTACGTGCGTATATCAGATCAGGTTGCCTTACTGTATTAGCACAGAGACGCAATAGTCAAATCCAAATCCCATAATAGTAGAGGGAATAGAAGTATTAGCAGTAATCCAAGAGATTAGGGTTTGAAGATGCTTTTGAAGAAGTATAATTCAGTGAAATAAATTTAGAAATAGAAAGATAGAGATTATGAGGAATTTAGAAGACCAGAATTTGAGAGAACATAAAGAGTGGATGCACCTGCGCCAATGCAAACGATTCTGAGCCTTGTCGTTCAAGGTCTCTAATCATCAGTGACTTTCGTCTCGCGGACCCCAACCAGGTAGCCTACATCTACCGATATGACTCAGTTCACTTGTCAGTGATTTTATGGATTACTACCATGTTTTAGTTTGGCCGTCTCTAGCTTTCTTCCAACCTATACCTACACCACAAAACATAGTTCGACGAGGCAGTCGGTGGGTAGGTATGTAACACATGTCCCAACCACCTCAACTGATCAAGTTTCACTACTTCACCTACTGATTTGCCATTCCTATCTAGTACTCATTTCCTAACGGTAGCACTGCTTACTCAGTTTTTCTATGAATACGAGCAATGCTTTGGAGACATCTATAATCGATTACGAATGTCCTCTACTCTTACCTACCATTTTTTGCATCCATATAGTAGGACGGAGCGATACTACGGAGGATCCTACCAACAACCTAACATAAAATGCTTGACTATTCCGTGTCACTAAGACAGTCAGGAAGCATTGGATATTAAAATTCCTTACCATGAACATTTTACCGAAAATATTTAGTGAGCAACCAATTTCTATTGCCAGGTGGGGGATTAAGTATAAGTAACTGTAAACTACCATCTGGAAATGCGTATATTTCCATCTTTTGATTCTAGTGCGATTCATCTGATTTTTTTAGACAATCATTTGGATTTTAACATGCTCAATGTTTTTAATTCGATCAAACAGAGTAAAATAATTATCTTAGAAATCAATAACATTGGAAGTTTCCGAAATTTTCTTTCTGAAATGATCTCTTAAGTTTATATTTGTTCATTTTTCTCTAACTCTAAAGAAACCGGAAAAGTATTTTAAAGATAAGAGAGATTTTTTCAATTGATATCACATCTATTATTTGCATAGAAAATAAACAAGGATCACTTTTTTAAAAAACAAAATAAATAACTAACCGAATCGGTATAGAATCGATTACAAGCGAATGCATCAGGACTATAAGTGAATAAATTGTGTGGCATTATAAATATAGATAATGGACCACCACTTGTAGCTGTATTCGGTAGATCTTCATTTCTTGGTAAATGATAATTGCCAACAGTCAACCATAAAACAAGATCCTGTCAATAGAGAAATGATCAAATATATACAAAATTTTAGATTGATTTGAAAGTTATGGTAAGTCAAATATACTACTGAAATTTATGTTTAGTAAGATGAATGTCATGCTAAAATATTTTCAATATTAAATGTTCTAAACATGTTATATGTAAATTCTGTCTTAATAACATACTTTCCAAATACACTAAATATAAAAGATTCTGAAAATCAAAGATTACTATGTCCTTAGAAGTTTCGGAATCATGGATAACTTGCTCCAAATCATGAATTTAACAAATCAACGTGAAATTGAAAAGGCATATGAAATGTCTATTGTCTTAATTATTCACTTGATAAACGTGAAATTTAATAAAGGTAATAAATGGTTAACACGTGCGCTATTGTCAAACATAAAAGTGATTAGTTTTCAACTGGAATACATTTTTTTGAAAATATAACTACCTTCAAGTGTTGCCAACCTTTGTTTAGTTAATTTTACATGAACAATCCACAACTTTAACGAAGGTATAAATTTACTTTATTTTACCATTTCTTGCATGAATAAACAGTTCAGTTTTCATGACGGTTACATTTATATCTGATTGATATTTTATGGAAATAAGAAGAAAACCTAAATGTATGATTCTAATCAAATCCTCATTTGTGTCATAAGCATTGCTTGTAATTTCAAAATCACCATATAATTGATGTATATATATCAATCCCATTAGTCACTTTAATCAGAAGTAAAAAGATGAATTCGATTCGATGGCTTATCGTCGTTATACGTGTTTCCATCAGCATTGAAAATAATCCGCCATTTGATCATCGCCTACATAAAAAACCAAGTTGTACGACTTAACTGACATCAACATCGGGGTTATGAATGCTCAAATGAAAAATCTACTTTCCAGCATCAGGTATGGATATTGTAAATATTTACTGTGTTTTTCCCCTATCACACCTCCATTTAAGTATCTTTCGTATCAAATAATTCAAATTTTTGAAAAAAATTGATCTTCACACATGTTGGTGTTGGTATTGGTTCCAAGCGAACAAACTCCTTTGCGATTCCGTGAATCTATCAAGTCAGACATTAACACCGTCAGATACCGGCTCAGTGGTCCAAAGGTCAGGCGTTCACCTACAATACCGTAGGTCCTGGGTTCGAATCCTGCGGGATGCAGGAATCGTGGATGCACACTGCTGATGACTCCCATACCAGGACGTAACGGCCGTTCAGTGCTTCCAGGTTTCTAATGGCTGTCTAACGTTGGTCGATTCATGGTTTTAAAATTGTGTCAATTAACAATCTTCACAACCCCATAATGCATTAATATTTATATCACCCAGTTGTACATACTACTGCATTTTCAATTTCATCCTTGAATTAAATTCCCTGTCACATTAAATGAAAAGTTACTGATCAAGGATTAATATTATTATCATTATAGGATATGACTTAGTCATTAATTATTCTTTTAAGGAAAACTCCGACCTCCCTAATATATATATATATATAAATATAAATATATATATATATATATATATATATATATATATATATATATATATCATGTATTCAGACACTAGTGACTTAATAATCTAAATCAAAAGTAATTATTAAGGATTATTATTTGTATACTTTTTCTGTCAATTTATAACAAACTTAAACAAGTCTGGTCTTTACCAACATAATATAATAAATGGGAGAGAGAGAGAGAGAGATAGAGAAAGGGAGACGAAGGGTTAAACTGATTTTGTTATCACTTAAGAGTTTATCCGCTGCTAGTCATAAACTATGATCTTTCCATTCCAATGTTTATCAGAAAATTTTATTATCACTGAAATTGATAGTCATAACAATTTACTTATAGTCTATTTGTAATTCTAACGTTTATTAACATGAATATTAAGTTCTGCTTTGAAATGTAAAATAAATTCTTCAGTATATGACATTATAGCAGAATACTGTAAATCTCAGTTTATATAACTTGGAGGATTTAAGAAATAGAAATAAACTTAATGAGATAAATTTCATAAAATTGTACTACCTAGAAGTGAAGAGCACACCTGAAGATGATTACAGAAGAAGAAGGTCAAGTTCATATAGCACAGAATTAACTAATTAAAACTTTTAATAAGATTTTTCAAACTACATGATTAGGTCTAATGAATCCGAGAACTAAATTAGCAGGTCTGTTAGTTATGAACAAGTGTTAATCAGCTTTTTTTTCGGAAGAATGCATCATGCATATACGATTTTCAGTGTTTTACAATTCCTGATCAACTCTCCAGATGATTACTGATGAAGAGAATTCGGGAAAAACATCTGTATACACCGATCTATTGAAACATCTGAAGTTTAGAAAATTTCTCTCGAAAAACTTCTAATATCTGAGTTATCATTCAACAAGTCTAACATAAAAATAAATTCACAAAACCAGAAATCAATAATAAGATTTTAAACAATGAAACAGATGGAGATGACTTTGAGAGATAATTTAAGTTAGGAAAGCTGTAATGCCGAAAAAATAAGAATTCTTATGGAGAATAAGATTGATGTACCTTAAATTTTAATGAAATAAGCTTTATTTATGAACAGAATAAGTATATTTAAAAAAAGGGTGAATATGTTGAACTATTTAAATAAATCGACATCAGTTTACCAGAATTTAGAAATATTTTTTCTAACTACTAAATACATATACTATTTGTTTTAACTTGAATCCATCAAAAATCTCTACAGTCAATACTATACTTATTATGATATCATCATTATCTGAACAGTGGATCACACGACATAGTTTGACAAATTAGATAGTTTGTATTTACGGAAAAACAGTTTTTGAAAGTGTAAGATCTTATTTTAGCTGATATGTCGGTTAGAAGCCACTATCCCTATAAACAGTCATAAAAATGAACTTTTGACATAAAAAAGCTATCTACTTCGCATAGAATTACGTTTTTCATTTAATTATAATACATAATGAGTAGTATACACAATTCAGGATATTTATTATCATATTCACAGTTTGTATTCAATTTTGTTAATATCATCTAACTACTTCTGATATTTTGATGCTCAAAGTATTCTTCTCATTCTAGTTTGAATAACTGTATAAATTTTATTGAAAACTATGAGTGGCTAAACTATAACACCAAAAATTGACAGCTAGTTTGAATAACATCGGTAGATGTACACTATGTGGCCCGTGCCATAATCGAAAACGTTCGGTGACAACACAGAATAGTTCATAGTGGTACTTAGTATTCTTTGTGTGTTTTCATATTTCAAACGTATCATTACTACAATTCATTATATGAATTTTTTCTCATCTTGCTCTTGTAGTATGACTCTTTAAGTTGATTAAAACTGAATACGAACTTCACTGAACACTTCTTGCTACTCTACATAAAAGAATTTTCGAGAACCGATTCCGGTTTTTAAGTACAAATAGTACATAATTGATCTATGTAATAAACTATTCATTAAAAAAATTTAAACTTACTTCATTGAATATTGACTCATTATTTGAACTGAATTTTGTAAAATCAACAACTGGTGAGTTTAAATCAATACCATTGAAAATTGACGATGCAAATGATTCATTGTCATGTTGTTGAGTAACATAAAGTTGATGTCTATGAATTTAAAAAAAGTCAGGAAATTTGCTTCATGATAATCAGATAGCTCAAAAGCATAAAAAATTTGAAATTCTAACTAATTTTAATAAAAGTAGAGCAAAATATGAAATGAATAAAACAAACATAATTTACAACATGAAGTGATGTTTATATAGACAATCCATCCGTATAAAACTTTTCTCATTTGACAGTTGTTTGTTCTAATTTAAAACATCGCACTAATATGTACTATTGATTTCGCTGGAAATCAAAACCTAAGCACTTCTTGTTTATAGCTAAAACATTTTTTAATTCAATACATCTGACGTAGAACTTAATTATTCAATAGTCTTGAAACAGTAAGTGAGTACTTTGCGATTATGTAATCGAGATAACTCTGTGATGTATATTATTATTTGAATTGAACAGTTTTCACAAACATTTTATTCTTGTAAATAACAAATAATGTAATAGCATATGAGTTCAGGTACAATGAGAAAAGAAATTCGGTAGGTTTATTTCATTTCAAATACTGTAGACGAATACTATCGTTAGTTGAAGATGAGATCTTGAATCACATAGTCATGAAATAATTGTTCAATAAAATCTTTCTAGAAAAGATCAGTTGATCATCGTGTAGAATAATTCACCTATTACAATTGAGTAAGTTTATTCAAGTAAGAAAAAAGTTGTTTTCAGTATTTTAAATTTATTGAAATTATGAATTGATCATTGTTTGATCACAATTAGAAACCTGGAAGTACTGGAAGACCTTTTAGTCCTAGCATGAAACTTATCAGCAGTGCGTATCCACTATTCCAACTGTCGGGAATCGAACTCAGGACTTTAATCTCGCATAACCAGGAATTTATTTAGATTTCATCCCTTTTTATATTCAAGTTACTGTTTACACTTGTATGAAGCTTTGTAATATCAATATTGTTGATTACTTTGAATGTTAATGTTCAGTACTCAATAAGCCAACTTTATTAATAAATCCTATTTGTTGCCTATTTCTCTTTTAATAATTTATATTCGTAAATTTGATGTTATGAAATGTTTAATAAAACTTAAACTTGTCTTCTGCCGTAAAAGCATGAAGACAAAAATTAAAAAAACTGAAACGGATAAGTAGTATTGCAAAAGATGTGTTTGTAAATCAAGAAATTCTTGTAATTTGGAGTTAAACTGTAAGAAAGTATAATTTCAAGATATTTTAAGCTAGAACAGAATAATGGACACTTCAATAATGTAAGTGTTTATGTGTTTCCATGTCTCATTAAGTCATCTAATCTATGACATAAAACATTCACATATTCAAAACATTTTCATGTTTTCGTGACAATTCACAATTTATATCTCATTTAAATTGGTTCTTGAAGTTAACTAGTAGAAAGCTGTGAATATTAATTCCAAGTCAGCTAACATTCTTCATCAATGAGTCTCTACTGTCTTCGATAAAATAAGATGCTATATAGTATTTCAACTCGTTTCTTAAAACCTTTACAGCGTTCTTTAAAATTTTTTAAAATACTTAAACGACATATATATGTGCAAGATTTTATGAATATAGAAGACTCCTTCATAAAAGTTTCTATTGAGGAATCATCCTTTAATTTGTATTTGAGAAGAACTTTGGGAAGATCTACAAGAGGAAAACCAGCAAGTACCATGGTTCTGTCAACACGTGGAACTAATGTAAGTTTGATATCTGCAATAACAGAAAATGGAGTTCTTCTTACTCAAACATTTTTTGGTTCATGGAACTCCGATAAGTTCATTCATTTTTTTGATCAACTGACCGAAAAATGCAATTAAAAATCAATTTTTAAGAATCGCATTTTATCCTTTATAATGCAAATGATCCATGTCTCCAATATTATCAGAATTAGTTTTGATGAAAAAGGAGTAAAGCTTATATTTTTGTCCCCTTATAGTTTTATAGGCCTAATCCAACTGAATTTACATTTTCAAAAATTAAATCGATTGTAAGAAGATCCACTAGCAAGCGGATTTAATGAATCATTTACAAATCTTATATATTAAATTCTGTAAATCAATTAACCACGAATGATTTACAAGGTTATTCGAGGCATATACGTCGCAATCGTTCAAAATCGATTGCTAAGGAAGACTTTAACTAAAAAATAGTATTCTTTTTATTTTTTAAAAAACACTGTGGTTATTTCAAAAAAACTCTGTGAAAATTTTAAAGAACTATGTCAATTATGGCAACAGTTCGAGATTAAACTGTTAACACACTCAAATGCATCCCCGATTTATGCAATAATAAAACGTTAACATGATGATATTCAATTCATCAGTTACATTGTAAATCATAAATCTAATTTACAAATAAACAAAAAAAATAATCACCTGGACCATGCAAAAGATTTTGTATGTTCATCATTGAAAATTGTTTTGATCTGACCTTTATTAACAATTATTAAACATTTGTCATTTTCGTAATAATATTCATTTATCTTATCGGATTTTTTCATATTAGAATCCATTGAACAGATTAAATATTGTTTGGGAAATTCAAACTTCGTTGAAAATCTTGCTTCCATTTCAGTTTTTGGTATATCAATAGATAACCATAACAATTCGGAATTAGTTAATTTATGCTTTGATTGATTATTTACTGGTTGGAAGTTGCCAGTTTTTATCATTTGATTTTCTGTTAATGGTCCATTTATTTTTACTACTTTAAAAAAATTCTCTCTATTCACAATATCAACATCAATTTTAAAATGAAATAAATGATGATGAGCAACCATATAGATTGGATTGATTGTAGCTGGAAAACCATATTTTGAATTCGATTGATGAAAAGGATTTAAATCTTCATCAACATGTATATAACCAGTTGGTGTAACTGAGAATTCCATTGTACCAGATGAATAGAAAATTATATCGAATATATAATCATAATTGAATAATGTTGATATTGTACGTACAACTAATGAATAACTTGTTATACCAAACCCAAAATTTGTATATTTTGCTCCATCTTTTTTGCCTAAATGTTCATTAATATGAAATTCAAAATGTCGTCTAACTGGACCACCATAAGCATTAGTTTTCCATTCATATAAACAAATCGCATTTTTTATTAGTTTAGGACCAGTTTCACCTGAATTAATTAATGTTACTGGTAAGTAGATAGCATTTTCAGGACAATCCAAACCTGGACTTAGTTCTGAAGTCATACCGCCTATTCCGTACATTGATTCCAACGATGTCATTGCTTGCATAAATGGGGATTTACCCCAATATGATGTTACTGTTTCATCTAGACCAGCTTCAGATATTAAGCTAATATTTGCAAAATATACATTGAAAACTCGAAGTCCTGTGTCTTTTCTAAGTGTTAAATAAAAATCCCATTTATCATATTGTATTCGACGGTTATTTATGCGAATTACATTATTTTTATGATTATTTGTTTCAGAATTACTCTTCATGGATTCACTGATATGTGGTGTTGACTGTTGACTAGGTCCCGGCTTTAATTGATTAGGATACATATCTATAAATTGATGTCGGATCACTTTGAATTCCCCAGAACTGTATTTACTTATAAGTTCTTCTAGAGATGTGAACATTTGACCCTGAAACCAAATATTCAATAAATACCATTCGTCCGGTTCCAATGATGTTTGATCGATCTGTAAATGAAAGTATTGGAAGAGAAAAATATACTTGTGTTTATTGAAAATATTACAGAATTCTGTGAAGCAGCTAGTTACCCATCAAATACAATGGGATTTGGTCGAGCATTTGTGTGAAATTATTGGTGTTGAACACTAACATAGTTGGATTTAGGCTCAATTGCCTAGAAGTTAGGCTTTCATATGCGAAATTGATGGTCCTGCTTTCGATTGCCGGAAGCGTGACCGTGCATGTGAACTGTTAAGGAGTCTCATGATAGATAGAAATGGTCGTTTAGTGCTTCTTGGTTTCCACTGGTTGTCCTACTTAGATCAGTTCATGATTTCAATAGAAATATCAGTCTGATTTCTAATTGACTCTCTTATTTCAAATGGTCTGAACTGTTTAAGTGGGCCTCTTAACAAATCATACACCGAATAGGATTTACGGCTTTAAAATGATCTTACTTTATCTTAGTAGTGTTTTATCGAAAACTATAAATGTCTAATTAATTCAATGAATAGTTTTACTCACACATCAAAACATCAACAGAATGAAATTTTCAAATACAAATTAATTAGGAGAATAGATGTTTTTGATGATCTTCTATTCGTGAATTACAGTTATTATTATATGTCACAAGCAATCATCAAAATGATCTAAGCTTAGTCTTTTTGCTAAATGACACCCATCGAAAAAGTGTATCCCCATATGCAAGGCAATCGATACGAATGTGTCATATTTAAACACACTTCGCTTAGTCTCATCATGAGAAACATTATCACTGAAGTTCAGATTTCATCCTACAGATAGCCATAACGTTTTAGATGTTAAAATCGAAGGGATATAACATTATTTAAATAAAACATGTGTAAATGAGTAAATCAATTTAAGTGTTAGTTGAGTGAGTAACATCCTGTTGTATTTGTTGATAGCAATAGACGCTTGTGATCGATATTAGTTTTATCCTCAACATTATATTTCCTGTTGTTATAATCACTTCCTAATAAACCTTAAACCATAGGTTATATATATATATGAATTAGAAGGATGTTTTATCTCTTTGTTGATATGATTTGTAGAAATTTGAATTTTGTTACAGATTTCGGTCGAATTAAAACGTTTTAACTTATCGGTAACGTTATTCTCAAATAGAAACTGGTCAATTTAAACATCTATCTCACATTATATTTTTTTATCTAAATTAAAGTAATTTTTGTATCACAGAATTACAAAACTGTTTTTTTTTTATTACACAATTTTGTAATCATTTCAAAATGAAACAGATAAAATGAAGTAAAACAAAACGGGACAATCCTTGCTTTTATTTGCATATCTAACAGAAGTAGCTGATTACTTTTCTCATGTTCCAATAAAAAAAACCGTTTTTGGTATTGAAGAGTGCTAATTTTATTGAATAAACACTTCACATCATTTGTTTGTTGTAGATGACAATGTTATCATCCACATGTCACTTATGAAGGCACGTTTATTTCCAATCAGGTCTTCAACGAAATTTATATCATAGACACGTTAATTAATGATAATTCTAAAGAACGACCTATATCACTCTTATCAATTCGTCGAAATTGTTTGCCTTTACATATGAACTGAACATTACAAGCAATGTGTGAATGACAACATCATAATGATGTGCAAAAAAACAGAGGATGTGATTTATTGATTAGTTTGACGTAATACTTTGAAAAACAGGTTACTTAAAAAACTATGATTGCACTATCTTATATCTTGATAAACTCATATCCTTTGTCGAACTATTAAAAGTCTTAATACAATGATCAGCTGTTTTATTCTTTATTGAAACTCATTAGCAGTGTCAATCATTTCAGAATTTAGCATTAATAATGAAACTGGAATTCGTTTACTTCAAAAGACTACCTAGTATACACAAATCAAACTGAAAGTAAGATCTAATGTAGTATTATGACACATATTTAAAATGTAAGAATAACATTCTAGATAGGGTTTAGACTACCAGTTCATACTCTTCTGATTCGACCTTCTTATTGTTCTTCAACAAGTGTACTGGACGCAAGTAAACTTCAAGATAAACACTGGTGACAATGAGAAAGGCGATTTCTAGTAAATGAACATTATTCTTGCACATGAATTTAACAAAAACGAACAGAATTATTTTCTATAATTGAAATATTCTTTTAAAAATGGTTGAATAATTGAAAACTCAGAAGTACTAGACAGTTGTTTCTTATTAGTTCGGAATCACTCAAAAAGTTTTAATCAAGAGCCACAGAAGTCGAATTTTGGAAACTAATGGTTTAGTGTTGGTCATATTACTTTAAGACTGCTGAGTCGCAGTCCAGAGATTGACATTTCAAACTTCCTTCAAAAATTTCTATATCTCAAAATAAATTTAATTAGTACCGAATACGCAACTTTTTTAATACTCTACTTGTTAATTTCTTCGCCTCAACAGATATAGGTCCTACGTTTAGCTCTGTGTATTGTCTTAGTTGTCTGTCGCTAAGGTGTCCAAAACTGGAATAAAATAAACTAATGATACTCCTTTATTTTTGAGAGTTCTCTTATTGATTATAGCTACCAACAAAAGCTATCTTTAAACTAAATTTAATTAGACAAATCGCTAAACATTTTAAGCAATGTTTATAACATTGACAGTGATTGAACATTTTGCCTAATAATTATTACAAAATACGTTTATTTGTTTTGTCTATTAATAGAACAGCTTATTTGACGGTCATGATACGTTATTACCACACAGTGATCTAGTTTAGATGACTCCAGTAAGACAATTGAAGTATCCTATGATTAGTGACTACTTACTTACATAGTAGTAGTATCAATAAGTACTTTGTTACACTAGTCGTTTTAACATTGGTGTACTACTGATGGTAGCCATAAATCAGATATCTATATATATAATAAACACGAACAGTGTAAATGAACTTACATGAAATTGTATATCTACAGGATATTGTATATGTGGAGTTACTTCTCTGCATAATCTCATCCAAACACGACGCCTTTCAGGTGCTTCTGATGTAACCAAAGGAGATGCAAACATTGGAATTAAACAATTTGGTCTCCCTATAATATCTCTATTACTTTTGCTGATCAACTTTTGACATAATGATTTCGTTGTATTAAATTGATCAAACCATGATTGATTATGCCGGTATAACCAATAATTATTCAATGGTTTATGCATAAAATAACTTGCTGAATAAGCATCTTGAATTATATGATCAATTCGATGTGTTTGAATAGTTAAATAATCCAATAAAGCATTATATTCAATATTAGTTAATGGTCTTTTATAAAATGGATAAGCATTTAAAAGTTTCAATATTTTCGGTTTTTTTAATGGACCAATATAATATTCTTTTATTTTAGGAATTTTAAGTGAACCAAATAAAATAATTACAATACCATATCTTTCTAATTCACTAGAATTTTCCTCATTTCTATAGGATACATTAAAATATTTTAAACGTTCTTGTTTTTTAGGTATATGTAAATTTAAACTCCATAAAAGATTCATTTTTAATTGTTCCGACCATGTTTTACTTTGAAACAATTTATCTGTAGTGAATTTACTAAATGCATACAGTGAATTATTAAATTTCAATTTTAAAAAATTCACTACTCTTTCATATTCTTCTTCATTTGGTTCATCAAAAATACCAAAGTTTAAATTAGCATTATTTTGTTCAATTGAATTAGTTTTATTTTTATTCAATGTGTTCAATGAATGACTGAAATGTGAATTGGAATTGGAATTGGAATCATGATGATGAATATTGGAGACTGAATTGACTTCAGATGATAAATATTGCATTGAATCTGATGAAAATATTGAATCTTGATTATGATAAGTGTCGGTTGTATTCAACAGATTATTTGTATTACAATGAATAAAAGTATAACATAGAAAATAAATCACTGGAAATATAACACATAAAACAATCAATATTAGTAGGATTATCCTGTGGAAAAAACAAAAAAACAAAATTTGTATATCAATGAAATTTCAACCATCATTTGAAGCATAGAATTCAATACAAAATAATATCAAGACTGACATTTGAACAATTAAAAATGAAAAATACAAACGAAATGAATAAACCTATTTTGATGCCAATCGTTCAAATTTTAAGTTTACCTTCAAAATAATGTTCCAATTCCAATATGTTTGTTTAATCAACGGTAAAAATTCAATTTAGGAATGTTGTTTTTTTGATAACAATTCAAACAGAATTGAAGGATTATCGAAACACAATGTTGACAAATGCTAATTCAGACTATAACCGCCTAACCTGGTACATAGTACATGGGTATTAGGAGTTACTTAAACTGATAGCCACATTACAACTTAGTCAATTGAATCCAGTTATCGCTAACTAACATATAATATGATATTGGTTAGCATTAAGTGATCAGTAAGCTTGAATTTCACAGTCTTACAGAAGCATACTATTAATACTGCCCAGTATACATATGTATGTACATCATTTACACGTGTAGATGACACTAGCAGATATTTTGTTGTGTTTCGCAAAAATGTGACTGAAACTAACAACAATTGATTCTGAAGTATTTAGGAAGCATAAATATCAAATGACTGAACACATGGAAGACACAAATAAAGCTCTAGCATCATAAGTTAATGTTAAAGGAAAACTTTAAAACATAGTGGACTAATTGTTTTGAGCTGCCGTACAAATTTTCTTGCTTAACACCATAATAAACCTGTAAATATTCTAACAAACTAAAACGAAACAGTTTTAAAAAAGATTTTACTGATCAACACACTTCTGTTTTCAAACAAATTTGGCTCCTATGTGATAAACACTCCGTTTATAAAAGAAGTACCGCACATATCTTAGTAACAATGAGAAAATGATTCTGAGATAGTTACATATGTGTTTGTTAACTTATTAACATTAAGCTAAATAATGTAGTTAGTTAACACATACAACTATTCACAGGATCATTGTCTTTTCTATTACAAGGTGAAGTGTTCCGTTTAGGTAATTAGTAACTTTATCTAGACACAAAAGGTGGTCTAGAAAAAACATTTTGATCATTAATTCTTTGAATTACAAAAAAAGTATGGTAATTATTTTGTTTATAAAATATCAATAAATTCAACGCATTTCTGATGAGTTATATAGTGAATTCAGTAGTCGATTAATTAAAATATACAAAGTTGTATTCAGATCATTATCGACTAGAAGTAATTTGCATTTGTTAACTATGAAGAAGACTAACATACAACTAAAAGGTTTACTTAGAAAGTAAATGCTTTTTTATAACAGTTATTTGATACAACATTATGATAATTATTTAAAATCTAAAAATAAGAGTTTTTTCGGTAAAATAATTGTAACGGGATTGGCTACCTTTAAGTAAAGTTCAATGGTGACAAACACTGAAATCTAAAGTGTACAGTTCGTTCTGTATGGAACTGTACAACTAGATATACCTAAACCCTAGTGTTGATATTTACATCAAGATTCGAACACCATGTCATTCGTTTCAAATGCTCCACTCAACTACCGAGTCCAAATAACCATTGTACGGATGAATTTTACTTCAATTGTACATGGGAAATGAACTACTTATGATTATAAAAATAACAAAGTATGTGATTGAGATCACAATCAGACTTAACTAAAATATGCAGCACTATTTATATATATATATATATATATATATATATATATATATATATATATATATATATATCTTCTGGTTAGGGTTTTTTTGGCAAGTTAGTCTTTTCCTCACATGGAACCCTCAAAGCAAAAGGAAAGGAGGAAGTCCAAGGAACAAATTAGGCCGAGAAATAGAGAATGATCTGAGAAGAATGAACAAAAATTGGACAGAACTGGAAAGGGAAGCCCAGGAGAGAGTTGGTTTGAGAAAACTGGTCGGCGGGCTGTGCTACATTGGGAGGTAACAGGAGTAAGTATAAATATATATATATATATATATATATATATATATATATATATATATATATATATATATATATATTTAACTAAGAATGGTAATTTATGACTCATTGATAACAATAGAGTGAAAAGTACAAATTTACAATAAGCTGCTAAGTTTAATAGCAAATAATATGTATATATATTATAAACACTATCACAGCATGAACAAATGATTAGTGAAGTAGGTTCAAGTTTTTAAAAAAATATAGTAATACAATAATAATCAATAAAATTACGCAATCAAAACAGTAAACGAATTATCAAACTGAACATCAAAGTAGTGAAAGGACACGAATAGTGATAAAGAAAAAATAATAAATAAACACAAATTATTTATCAAGTTTTATTCGGTGAAGGAAGCGCTCAAGGCATGCTACAAATTTGACCTAATTACAAGGTCAATATATATTTGTTTATATCATCATCTTGTTTATAAATCATTGACATAATTATTTGTCGTGATATATACGAACCACCTCATGGCTAGTTTGTACTTTTCATTGATTGTACTTCGCTGAATGATCTGATAAAGGCGGATGAAATATCTCAATGAAAACAATATTGTTCACTCACATATATATGTTATTGTGATTTGAACAATAGGAATTTTTAATATTCTAGTTATATAATATCAACAAAAACTATTCGATGAAGAAATTCTTATGATTTCTGGCTTTTTTAATACTTGCTGCTAGATTTTATGAAACTATGTTAGTGTTGATTTTTAATATCTGATAATAACCACTAGCGTTACACTTTCCGAATGATATCAGTTCACTTTATTTGTAAGGTGTTATTATACTTTTGATTGATAAATCTCAACTACCATAGACAAAAAAACGAGATATATATGAATGGATGAGTCCTTAATGGTTTTTTCTCTTAAAAAATAAACTTGAAGTGATCACAAGTTACTGAAAAAAATGATTTCTGCTTATTGTCATCAATATTTTCTATATCTTCACTGGATTTTTCGAACAGTAATTATAATAATTTTTTAGCAATAATCTCACTAAAACAATCAATGACAATCAGTCCCATGAAATAATGGTTCCGTCTTAGATACCTTCAAAAAATTTAGCATGTTTTCATATTTTATGGAAAGATCGTAAAGTTTTCAGTCATTTGATTTAGTCTTGAAGAAGATGAGTTAAAATTTTCAATGAAACCGATTGACCATATTATTATTTTTAAATGGTTATAAATAAAGATATTCTATTGTAAACAGATCATTAATACTAAATTTCTTGATTTTTTATTATGGAATTATGGATATCATTGAGTTGCATTGAAATTACGAATCGATCATTGTCAGACCACTATTAGAAACCTGGTAGCAAGCGAGGGTCTTGATTTCGTACTGATGATGAGTCCCATACTAGTACGAAATGAATGTCCAATGCTTCCAGGTTTCTAACAATCATCTAACTACGACTGATTCATCATTTTAACTAAATTTCCTGTTTTTATTCACTACTTATTCTTGAAGCTATTATCTACAGTCAAAATCTCTGGCTAATATATTAAGTAAGTAGCGATTATGAATTTCTACGAAGTTTTGGAACAGTGATAAGTGATTCGAAACTCAATTAGAAACTCAGGTTTATAGTAATGGTTGACAATGTTTGTGTTATGAACTTTAGAACTAGTAATGTGCTCGTGGATCAAAGTATCATTAAGATTAGTTTCGGTGATATCATGAACCTACCATTGTTAGACCACCATTAGAAATCTTGACTCGTCAGTAGTGCCCATCCACACCCCTTGTTCACAGAAATCGAACCCCTAATGATGATGGTCTTACAATGATTGACTGAAGATTTCAATGAAACTCAACAATCTTCATAACTCTATAATGAAAGATGATTTTCATTGGAATTTCATCAATAATAAAAAGTATTAATCATCGACAGATAAGCAAAAGATTCATTACTGACAAACTGGTTAGGCATGTTCGTCCCTTGAATGGTATTTACAAGTTATTTGAGTTGATAAAAAAAGTCTACTAAGATTTTTTTTAATCACTCAACTTTTAGAGAAACGATAAAACACCTAAAAATAAATAACTATTACTACATTTTGTGCAACCGAATATACAAACAAAGATTTAAGCAGAACACTATGAATTGATTGTGTTTTGCATGATTCTTTTCAGATGCATGCAACCTGTAATTGGTTCAGATTACTTATATGAAAGAGTTAAGTTGAAAGTTGGTATGACCACATATCACTGTAATATAACAAGGATGTAAGTAAATTTGACCGACTGAATACAATATTCTGTTGGGTTATTTAATTTTCAAGATTTATTTTGTTTGCATCCTTCAGGATGACAAAAGGAACTATACGATCATCAGTTTTATAAATTTTTTTTCTCTGTCTACATGTCAACTTTGAATGAAACGAACTGAATTATAAATCTGACCTACGAAGGAAATGTTTGTAACACTGTGTAACGGGATTCGGACAGAACTCGTAAAATCGTGTCAATAATTCTTATGAATTTGAAGTTGTCAAGTAATTTATTATCGAAATTAGAATAAAACATTTTGAATAAGAATAATATTGATATTGAGCAATACTACTTAAATGGAGTTGATTATAACCACAAACCAACTAAGATAAAAGCTGAACATATAAAAATTTTGTTTAATAACTGTTACCTCAGGGATACTATCGCTAACTCAAGTCTCATATGGTCGAAAAATGAAAATTTCGGAAACGCGAAAAAATCATTACCCAACATGAGACAAAGGGTAAGAGAAATGTTTGGGCCTATTCGCACTAAGCTGGGCTGCCTCTTCTACTATCCTACGCCATATATGTGTACACCATGTGCTATACTGCTATATAGAGCTGAAGGTCTCTTATTAAAACAGAGGTTCGCTGTGAACATTGTGGATGGCTTGGTATTGCTTTGGCAAGCATTGCTAGCAGTCCATATACAAAATTGGTTACCGATTTGATTGATGTGGGTGGTTGTTATGTAACATACTCGAGGGCCATTGTCATTGGGGTGCTGTATTGCATATCACCATTGTTAATAATAATAAGTCTGACAGTCAAGTAAGCGGGATGGATCGAAATGGCCTGTTCATGCGGTGCATACTTATCGATGTAATCATAGATTTGAAATAATCACTATACCTGTACTAGTGTATATAAGTGGTGTGAATGGTCCACCAGGGTATCAGAAACCTGTGTGGTTGCACCACAAGATTGAGCCGAACTGTTCATGTAGAAATGACAGCACGTGAGCAGTCTCTTTGGTTCTCCTGAAACTCAATTTAAAATTGCCTTAGACGACAGAGGATTAATTTATATTATTGAAAAAAAATTGTTGACATCCATTCTTTTAAGAATACAAACAAAATTTCTATTTGAATCTATATATTTTTATACAGTCAAATATCATTACGAAGGCTTATGTAGTACATTTCTGTAGTTTATTTGTCAGCCATATCAAATGATTTTTCTAGAAATGTATTCATTTGTACTCTGTAAACATTTTTTAAAAAGGTCTATATTTTAAATATGAATCAATTTCAAACCTTATCATAGCATACCATTCAGTTTCAATATGGATAAAAATTCACCATTGATGATTAACTTTTTTTGAAAGTTATTAAACAATCAATACTTGGTTATTGAAATCAAATCCACTGATGTCTGATAAAAACTACACTTACTTTAAATAACTATTTTGAAGAATTATTTTACGATGATTATCATTATTATTATTATCAACATGATTTGACGCAATATCCGTCTTGTCACTTAATAGTGATAATTCTTGTGAATTTGAATCTTCCGGTACTTTTGTTTCAACACTTAATAATTGATGATATTGACTATAGTGCATTTCATCAGATGATTTCAATTTGAATTCGGTACCAGGCTAAAAAAAAGAAAGGAAGTCAATATATTAAATATTATAACAGTTTCAATCATTAACTGATCTTAGTTAGACCACCACTGGTAACTCCGAAGCACGGAGCGAACATTCAAGTATAAGACTTCTAAGCGGTTCATAGGAGAAACTACACATCCAAGAATGAAACGTAGAACCTTACGTCTCGCGCACGAACGCCTGACCTCTAGACTACTAAGTCAGCATCCTATGGTGCTAAGGCCTAACAACACCCAATACGAGATAATGTACAGCCACCTTTCATTCTTTTCAGCTTCACCTGTCTTAGCTTTGGTTTAGAATTCCATGAGGTGCATCTTAAAGTCATGTATATAAATCACTAGTAATAACAAGTGTACCCTAATTATGTAATATCTTCCACCATCACTTAGATACTAGTTTCTTTTATTAGTGTAGAACGTCTGTTCGTTATATTCATATTCAACAACGGATGATTGGTTCAACCATTACATAATGAAATGATGCGATATAAATTTTTAAAAAAGCTTATCATTTGTATTTATCCACTGAGTCCGAATGAGATTCACTTAAACAAAAAATGTATCATTAACAATTGATTTAAAGTAAAATTTTCCTGGAATTTATTTCGTGAAATTAAAACAGTAATAATTAGAATAAATATTAACAAACGAAAACATAAAGTTTTCATTGAAACAGAAAAACTGCCTCATTTAAAATCAAAAGAAATCAAAATTACAGCTTGAGAAGCACAATGTAGCTTCATTCTTAGTAGTCACTCACCAGTGTTACTATTTATTTATAAAGGAAACATTCAGAATTATATATATTCTAGGTAGACATTCAGCCAGTCACCAAATAAGCCCAAGACTAATTGAGATCATGTGAATGGTTTTAAATATACGATAATAATTGGTGGATTCTACTCTATTTTAACAAAAACATTTTCTACATATGTACAAAGTCAATTCGCATTGGTAATTTATCGACCATCAATCGTTGAGAGATGAATACTGGCTAGCAATCAAATAGTGGATTCGTGTTTCATCTTACTTGGGACTCGTCAGCTTGCTGTACCTGTATCCCAAGTTTGATGTTCGCTCCAGGACTCCGACCAAATATCGTTTACTTCAAACACTATCGCGTTATCCACTTAGCTACTGAGTTCCGATAGCCACTGGCATGTACAATGAGGTGAGGTTTAATTGATTTCCATTGGCAGTTTGAATCTCTGCTTATAATGCTTGTGACCTAATTGCTATATTGATGCGATCCGTACAGGATGTGCATATGTCAATGGAGACTGATCAATTTCACTCTTATTGAACAAAGGAAAATACTCAAACTGCCAATATGAATAAATCAGTCAATGAGTTTAAACAGAATAATTCATGTATCCCATCTTATCAGTGAAATCGATCACACTACAAACCAAGTTTGCACATATTAGCCAAATGTGCTAAAGTAATGTTAAACCATCCACAATATTCATCATAATGAATATCTGGTCTCATAGGAAACCTTCAGCTCTATATAGCTTCTTCTTCTTCTTCTTACGCCTGTTACCCCCAATGTAGCATAGGCCGCCCATCAATTTTCTCCAACCAACTCTCTCCTGGGCTTCCCTTTCCAGTTCTGTCCAATTTTTGTTCATTCTTCTCATATCTTTCTCTATTTCTCGGTGTAATGTGTTCCTTGGTCTTCCTCTTTTCCTTTCGCCTTGAGGGTTCCATGTGAGGGCTTGTCCTGTGATGCAGTTAGGTGCTTTTCATAGTATGTGTCCTATCCATTTCCACTAAATGTTTACATTCATTAACATTGGAAATTCATTGTTTAGCTTAAAATATCGATACCCGATTTACGTCTCATTTGTCTAATTAAAAAAATTGTAGTTCTGAGCATCATGTTTGTAGAGTCGTATTTTTCGAAATAAACAGTAGACCATTAAGAAAAATTTACTCTTACAAAGATTTACTAATAAATCAATAAAATTAACGAATTTCATTACTATTACTGCTTACCATGGTTTTTATTAATATTTCATTAGATTTGTAAGAAACAATGCAGATTTTCTTAGCAGTTCAATGTTCATTATTCAATATTCAATTTTTACACGCTTATTTTATAATAATTCGACTATTTACTTATTTATTTATTTATATTGTCTATCCAATTGGAAGAAAACCGAGTGGAATTTTTTTTTATTTTACAGACAGTTTGTAATTCTCGTGTTTTTTTTTCTTACTCCCTTCTGCATTTCACTTTTCCATTTGAAACCATTGAATATGTAATTCATTCATAAATTTCTATTCATTGGCTCAGTACAAATTACTGTATTCATCCAATCACCGAAGCATAAATTTCTGTAGTTTTAGTCACTGTTTTAACAAAAAGTTAAAATAAGATATTTAGTTCACTGGTACAAACCAGACAAAGAGTATACTACTTTTATATATATATACATATATATATTTCAAGGTATAAGTAATGATGTATATACTCTACAATGATATGATTAGTAATAATGTTATACATATTATTTTGTACATCTAACTGATGTGTAAATGACATGTTAAAATATCTTTTGAACAAACTAATATGAATGTATTAATGTTATGTAATTATTTTTCGTTTGGAATATTATTTATGTTTACTGATAACTATTGATAATGTAAAGCTTACTAAACATCAGACAAATCATATCTGAATTGGAAATCTTTTTTTTCTTTGCAAAGTTAAACTAGCGAATAAACCATTTCAGTCTGTTGACAACAACAACAACAACAAAACCTAAGTTCATGCTGTTAACATAAGTTTTAAATTAGTTTAAGGAACAGATATTAAGATGAGTAAATCTTCCAACAACATAACTTAAATGCTAAAATTGTTAGATAATTGCACAGTATGAAGTTGTTTAGATAAATCAAAAAATTGCATAGCAAACAATGAGAAGTAAATGTGTACATTTGTATTTGTGTGTTTTGCACTAGGGCTGTGTTCTTTATAGTTGATAGTAAGATCAACCTAGGTTGGTAAATAAAGGTACATTAAACTATGTTGATAAGGAATAAACTAGTTTTTAAAGAATCAAGTTGTTCAATATGTATTTACCGTAGTTGCAATATGAAAAACTTGTAAGAATTATAACGATAATGTCCATCTCTTTATAATCAAATTAAACAGAAATGACATTAAACAACCTTATTACTGAATAATAAATTTAACATTTTAAATCTTATCATCCGTTCAATAAGTACACATAAACTGAAACATTGGGCAAACTTAGATTATTCATGGAACGTTGAAGGTTGTTTATTAAGGTAAATTGTTGAGTAGGGAAAAAATCTCTTCTATAAGATTGATCTCAGTTCGTAAAGAATTTCAAGGTTATGCAACAATATAATTACCAAATCCCACTTGAACTGTAGAAAAAATCCAGGCTATGTAGTCTTTTCATTACGATCATTGATTCACAGTCCAAATGATTGTCGATGAACTTTATTTACAAAAGGTATCTATTCTTTCTGTTGTAAGAAAACAGTTTAAGCTAAGTAATCTGTTAAGTCATAAAGTATCTAAAACGTCTGTTTCCTAAAGACTTCGACTGATGATTGAGTTGTAGATCAAATGACTGTTTTGAAACGTACGGAGAGTACTTTGAAAGGGATAAATTGATATAATTTACATTTCTTAAAACTAATTTTTGATTTTAAATAATCAATTCAGAGGTCTTCAAATGATTTATAACTTTTTTTAAGATTTGAGAAAATCTCCACGTTTCTTAGAATCGTTACACCAATTATGAGCTCAAATTAGTTGAATTTACACATAAACAGGATAAGATATTTATTACAGTTTTAAAGTAGTTTATTACAATGAAATTTTTAAAGGCAAACAAAAAAAGTATTTTACAGTGCATCACAACTATACATTAAAAAATACTCAATGCATGAGGTAGTTTATTAGCAAGTGCATTCTACAAACACTCAGAAAATCAAGGTTTCCAAGCACCAAAATCGAGTTTATTTATACATGATATAAATGTCCTTGGGAGAGCCACAAAAATAATACATCAACCAATAACAGCCAAGGATTTTCCGAGTGGGGTATGTAATCTCAAGACCGGCCGATCATCCGATGTTAAAAAAATAAAACCCAAAATTAGGACCTTTATCAAATGAGTCCCGGGGACCCAACGTCCCCATCATTATTTATGTCAAATAACTGACAGCTTTAAATGAAAAAATGTTTCTAGTTGGTTGAATTTTGATGCTACTGTATTTGTGCATGAAATCCTAGATGTTCGTAAAACAACTAGGTACAAATTCATACCAATGATATGATATCATAAATGCTTAGTCAAGAGATCAAAAAAATAATTAGCGCTTACTTTAATTCAATCAAATTGTTTATTCTTCTGACTTTGGTTTATGAGTTAAATTTCACTCGTAACTTTCTATTTATTCATACAGTTACTTAACAAGCGGATCCTAAATAATTTAGTGATAAAATCAGTTAATCTTCCGTCCAAACATTTGACTTATTCTATTCTTTTTTCAGGATGTAAAATCTACTGTGATGTTTTTGAGTAGACAGACATATTAATTTAAATTACTTTTTAAACTAAATGATCATTTCTAATCAAAACTTGCTTAGTATATTAAAACATGTTTATATCTGAACTTGAGAAAATTTTGGTGTCATTATGGCTTTTTTTTGAATTTCACTTTTGTGTAGATTTAGTTTCTAATCTTCATCATCTTCAGGACAGTTTTTTTAACTGACGATATTTTTTGTAATATTTTTATAGATAATTTTTACTAGTCTTTATTTGAACATAAACGAAGTTAATGAAAGTTCGTTTGTTAGAACACTTCATATAAACTCAAAAATCAAAAAAGAAAAATGAAATTTTATCTACATCAGTTAGTTTCAAGGACTACGTTAATCTGAATGTGTCGGACGCAAAAAGTGTAACATCTAGTATTTCAACTCGTTTTTTAAAATTTTCACAGCCTTTTTTAAAATTTTTTATAATCCTTTAAATGTCAGACACGAAGAGGAAAATCGATATATGAGCAAGATTTTATGAATATCGAAGACTCCTTCATAAAAGTTTTTATTGATAAATCATCCTTTAATTTGTATTTGAGAAGAACTTTTGATAGATCTACAAAAGAAAAACCAGCAAGTGCCATGGTTCTGTCAACACATGGAACTAATGTGAGTTTGATATCTGCAATAACAGAAAATGGAGTTCTTTTTGCTCAAACATTTTTTGGTTCATTGAACTCCGATCAGTTCATTCATTTTTTAGATCAACTGATTGAAAAATGCAGTCAAAAATCAGTTTTTGAGGGAGTACAGCTTATGTTTTTGTACCCTTATAGTTATATGCCTAATCCAATTGAATTTGCATTTCCAAAATTTAAATCGATTGGAAGAAGATCACTGGCAAGCGGATTCAATGAATCATTTACAAATCTTATATATATATTATTAGAAAAAAGTAGTAAAAAGCTTCAATTTTTAAATTATTTTTCACACTGTATACTGAATCATGATGGCGAATTCAAATCTTTGAAATCTTGTAAACTGTAAATTTGTAGAGTGTTAAACGTTTTCGCAAAGTACAATACACTCAAGTCAAATAATGACTAGATTTCATTATTACAACATACAACTTATGAACATATTTCGATTAATGATTAAGAAATCCTTTAATCAGTAAAATTAATAAACTGTCTACAAATAATAAGAATTTTAAAAATCATGCTTCTTTTGAAAGATACAATAATTGAAGATAAGTTAACATCAATATTTTCCTGATCAAATTAACCGCAGAAATCTAAATGTCCAATGTTTGACATTCAAAAGTTAAATAAACATTAAATACAGTAAACGGGAAAAAATTCGACTTAGAAAGTAGTTTTCTATTATCATTCAAAAGAGAATGAAAGATAGAAAATGAACTGATGATAACACCATTTCAAATCATATGAATCAGACGTAACCTTTATAGTTGTTCCGAAATGTTTCTTAAATGATATTTTTTAAGCAGTTGTGCAACGAGTAAACATAATAATCTTGAAACTAAGAAAGTACTTCATGTATGTATGACAGACATTAAAATTTGTATTCTGTACCCCCAAAGATCAACAGAATAAAAGATTTGACGTTGTTAGATGTTTATTTTGGCTTAGAAATCGTATGATAAACAAAATTATGTAATAATTTATGAGAAATTCAAACGTGTAATTGGAAATGTAAAGTATCATCCATTCACCTAGCTTATTAGTCACTTTTGAAGAATAACTCTCCATCAAGGAACTTACAACAAGACATTAGTCATTTTCAGTCTACCGATTAGACAGCTCAATCCAGTTATACAAAAGTTTAGGTGCAACAAAAATTTAGCTAATCAAAATTTATTGTGATACCGTATCACTGAGGTAGTATGCATTAACCTGATTCTTATATATAAATACAGAGTCTGTTATTGCTGAACACTCATAATCTTACTCGGTAGCTTTTACATGGTCACCTGTGACCACCAAGTACAAAGGTTTAATTGTCACACTAAAGTAAACATATCACTGTGATTTGAACATACATAGTCGATCACCTATAAACCTCATCAGAAGTAAACTTTTGTCACTTTGTGACTAACACTTGTCATTGTGTCAAACTTAACAATATTTTGGTGATTCACATTATCATTAGATTAAAATGACTTACAAGTAAATATGGCCTGTGGTCTAAATGATTCACTGATGTTTGCACTCGGTTGTCAATCGATTTATTATGACCGGGAGAAAAGCGTATTAGATTAGACTCTATGTACCGAATGAAAAAAATACATTCATTAATTTTTCAAAGGCACTTAAAAGAGTTCTCAGATATCATCCCTGACATTCACCTTTAAGTTAATGAGTTACCCAATCAATTACTGCATCTTGTTCATACACCCAGACTTACATTTCCTCAACATACAACCTTGTTCATTACGAACAAACCCCGTTTGATCTACTACGTATCGTTTTGTAGATTTTCTTAACCGTTATTTATTATTCTATTAATGAAACTAGCTGCTCCAGAACTCATATACTTAGAATATGATAACACAAGTATGCCTTAGTAAGTTCATCTG